TTCATGGAGGACAGAGGTAATGCCTGCACACCACCAGTTGAGTTATAATCACTATGGGAAAAAATTTAATGAGGATTAACAATTTTCATGGGGGCGGTTACATGGCGTATATCATGGTGGATGTCTTTTATAGTCTTCGTGTGTGTGGCCTCAAAAGTTCAATGATTTATTTATTTATTTTTCCCAATAGAAGAATCTCATGACTAGTTCTGCAGGGCACATTTTCGGTTTAACGCTTCTCTGCACCTTTGCTTTCCTTCCAGGGACGCCAATTAACAAATCTCCAGTGCTTGGCTACAAGGATCTCAACCTCTTCAAGCTCTTCCGACTGGTGCATATTCACGGAGGCTGTGACAATGTGAGTGTTCTTAGCGTTCCCACCATCTGTTTATTGTACTCGGCAAGTGGGAAGTGAGACCTTGCCAAAAATATGAAGCGAAAGTGGCCGCTGATTGAATTTATGTTAAGTTCACAGAGCTGGACTGAATTGAAAAATTGCTTGTTTATCAAATGCATGTTCTGTGAATGTTATTGAGGGTAATTATATTTGGGAGTTTGGACTGGTGATAATTGGGAAAACGGTTGAGCTTGTTCGAGTGATGTCATGTTTCTCTAAGCTATCTGATCCTAGGGTGCGGTAGACACATGTGCATGACACTACCAGCTCTGTGCAGCAAGAATTAGCACTTTTAGTCATCAAAAAGACTTGTGTAATGAGATGGTTTATTTTGTTTTTAGATTGAAAGCGGCTCTATTTGGAAACAGATCTACATAGATCTTGGCATCCCGGTTCTGAACTCTGCTGCCTCGTACAATGTGAAAACAGCCTACAGAAAGTAAGTGAATGCTCTCGCAATTCCTGCTGTACAGGACTATATTTGTTTACTCAGCAGCCAGCGTTCTTTTTGTGTCGTTGGCAAATGGAGACAATTTTCCACTTTGGAAGGTGACTTTTGCTGCACTGTTAAAGGAACATTCTGAGTTATGTACAACTTGATGTTTATGGACTGCATCTGTGGCATGCTTTCGACTACAGCAAACAGATTTTTTTTACTTATTCTTCAGGGTAAACAAAGGAATAAAAAGCATGTTTACAGTAAATAAACTTTACATTGAATGCCTAGCAGGCAAGTATGCAGTAACACAAACATTTCAGACATGCAGCTGCGCCGTTTCTAAGATATACCTCATGTAATGGTTAAATAAAAAATAAACCCAGCTCTTCTGAAAATTGAAGCCTTGTTAAACAAGCATAGGGTCAAATATGATGATACCAGAGAATGGTTTCACTATCATGTGATGTTACAATTCTCTTGGCTGTCTCATTATCCTCTGCTTGAGTAAAAAAAAAAAAAAAACATTTGGAGAATGCCCATATTTTAACTTTCTTGAAAATGACTCCTCTTGATTAATATTGTTAACGTTGCTTATCATTTGACTTGAACCTCAGGTACCTGTATGGATTTGAGGAGTACTGCCGCTCTGCTCAGATCCAGTTCAGGACAGTGCACCACAACGAGCCACGACCAGACCGCCAGCCGGAAGTGCAGTGCGTTAAGACTGTGAAAAAAGAGAGCGGAGACACAGATGAGATGATGCAGCAGGTTACAGCAGAGCCTGAAACTAGCGAGGACAAACCTGCGGCAGACGCTGATGAGTCAGATACTGAGAGCGAAAAGGGACACAAAGATATCTGCTCGCCCAGGGTGAGTGTCTGTCTTTCTGTTGGGCTGCTCTCAAGATGTCGGATTTCATGCTGCAATGCAAAAACACTTATATTACAAGTGTTTTGTTTTTTTGTACTTGAATGAGTTGGAGGAAATGTACATGATGATACTAGAGAATGGTTTCGCATTCATGACCTGATGTCATGTGATGATACACTTCTCTTGGCTGTCTGATACGCATTTTTGACTTTAAATTGATTTTAAGGGCATGTCTGTTATTTTGGGTTTTTAAACCGGAAAACATCATGCATTTAAATGAACAGTTCGCCCAAAAATAAAACCTCACTCTCATGTCTTTTGAATGCTGCTTGTTCCATAAAATGAAAGTGAATGTTGACCATGACTCTTAAGCAAGCTTTATATATATATATATATATATATATATAAATGAATGTTTTTTAAATGATTGCTTTTATTCAGTCTGCATGACGCTGTTCATTGCCATTATATTTTACTGTTTAAATAAAGTGAGAAAAAAAATCTAATTCTGCTCAATTAAAAAAAACTAATTATTAATAAAAAAATATTTTTTAATGTTTTTTATCCAGTTTGCAGGACCTTATTCATTACTATTATCGCAACTATTATTGCAAAGGATTAAAAATATTGAAAAATGCAATTCTGTTCACTTAAAAATAAATAAATATATAAACTAATATTTTTCATAATTAAATAATTAAATGGAATTCCATTTAAGCCATCCCAGCCCTATTATTCTGTGACATTTCCCTTCTTATATAGTTTAAACTTGGGTTTGATCTTTCTGAAATCCTATCACGTAAGTCAGAAGTTTCTCTTACAGTCTTCATCAGCACTTCATTATAGCCACACTTATTATAACTGACCTTTTCAAGCTCAACGTTTTAACACTTTTATGAGAAATATATCACAGTAATCATTTGTACAGTTTTTTTCTTGGCACTAAGTACACAAATAATGTGTTTGCTAAAGTCATTATTAGCTGTTTTGTACTGACCTTCAACCCAAATACATTTCCAATGTACCCGGCTTGACAGAAAAACATGTTTTCAAAGAGAACCGTCATATTTGTTTTATTTGTATACTTCAAGCACAGAATATCTATGCAATGGAAAGTTGAAATGTATTGTCTGTGTAATGCATTTAAAGGTAAACTTCATCTAAATGATCATTTTGCTATCCTCGTTAACATATTCAACACATCCATCCAGTTCAAGTAATAATCACATTTACATTTGTGATAAATGCAATTTTAAAATTAGACACATTCACATTTAAATTAAATGCTAATATTAGTTTAGTAAAGTGCAAATCCAGGTTACATTATTGATTTCAATTTGCAGCGAATGTTACATATTTAAATTAAAAAAGATAACTATTTACTTTAAAATTACTTTGAGAAAAATATATTTATATTTTTTAATTATTTAGAGTTGTCTTGTATATTTCTTTTAAAATATGAATATGTTTTTAAAAAACTATACATTTTAATTTATCTAAACATTTTAAATGTCTAAAAAAAATTATATATTAAAAATGTATTTAATAACATATAAAAAAAATAATATTAATAAATAATACTTTTATATAATATACTTTAATATTTTTTATTATCCAAATATGCTTACAATATAATATGTATTTTTAATTATATTTAGATGCATTTTGTAAAAATATTAAGTG